AATATTACTGGACATCACATTGCTTTTTACAGAACTTGAAGAGGTGTCTCACCGAGTTGCCTGTGCTGGACTCCATGTAAGCTTCAGTCTTGGGTTCCACTGCAAGCTCAGCGTCCAGGATCTTCTCCACTGGCATTTCCTCATTAAAGCTGCTGCTAGACTCCACCTCATTATCACTCTTTTCCCGACCGCGCTGCCTCTCTTCCTGCACCGCTGTACACGTGGAACATTTCTATTACTTCAAACAAAAAAATACCTACACAATTCATTTATGACAGTCTGTTTCATTTGAGTCACTCACCTTCTCTCTTCATGCCCATGGCCAGACACTTCTGATAGCGGCAGTACTGGCAGCGGTTACGCTGGCGCTTGTCAATCTGGCAGTCTTTACTGTCTCGACACGTGTACGAAAGGTCTTTCCGGATGGTTCTCTTGAAGAAGCCCTTGCATCCTTCACAGCTGTAAACACCATAATGTTTCCCTGTAGGTAGAGAAAGATGGTATATTATCATTTTAGTCATAGTCTTTAAAGCGATAGTTCACCCAAAAATTCTGTCATCATTTACTCACCCATGTTGTTCCAAACCTGTATGACTTTCTTTCTTCTGGAAAATGAAAGAAGATATTCTGAAGAGTGTTTGTAACCAAACAGTTTCGGTTTCCACTGAATCCCATAGTATGGACAAATAATACAATGGAAGTCAATAGGAGCAGAAACTTTTGGGTTAAAAGTATTTTCTTTCAAGTTCCACAGAAGAAAGAAATTCATACAAGTTTGGAATAATATGGGTGGGGGGAGTAAATGATGGCAGCTTTTTTATTTTGGGGTGAACTATCCCACTCAGGCTCCAGGAATCAGTCAAGCTCCAGTCAAGGAGAGAATTAGCATGACTAAACATGTACTAGTGTGCGGGTGCTGTATGAGGGCACTTACCTGAGGATCGGTCTCCACAGATGGCACAGATGTGTTTGGAGAGGGACCCCGGGCTGCTGCAGGGGTAACTGCCCAGTCCTGCCAGTCCTGGAGGAGGTTTAATGTCTTCTGAGCTGCTAACACTGTTCATAGAGTTCATCTGCAAAAAAGGAGAGAGAAACGATCAACAGAGTAAGCTTGTGTGTGTGGTTTCCCACCACCTAAACAATCAAATTGTTACAAAATGAGCACTTCCTTTTTGGATCATGTGACTTGATTCCTTTGAATGTTCATTTACACCATTCACTCTATGTGTGCGTTATTAGACATGCATAGTATACAGTTTTCCAGATGGTTGAAATGTGAAATACGAAACTATGGAATATAGAATTTAGAGTGTTACAATAAATAAAAGTAATGAATTACAATGAATGTATTGGCTAAGTGTACATTGAGTTTGTCTTCACCAGTAGAGGGCAGCAAACGGTCATACTTGACATGGGAAGTTTAATGACAGCCCTCTACGAACACCTTGGCAATTGAATCGCCATTGGTGACATGTTTGACACACCCACCAAACAAGAGAAAACGCATCTCAAACCCCGTTGCACACCGTTGCACACCGTTTCCAGGAAACATGTCGTTCAAACCGGAAACCGTAGCAAAATGGTGCACACCGGTTTGAGCTTGAACTTGCCCCAGGTGTACAGGTGTAAATACACATCCATTCAGATGAACTGAAAAACAGCACAGATCGCTTGACGGAGAGTGAAACTCTGAAGCGCTCAGTCAGAGAGTGTTCGGCGAGTGAAAATATATCTGAGCTAAACTTATACTTAGCCTCCAACTCACACACTGGCGAGTAAAATCTGAGAATTTGTTAGTAATTGGCTAATATTAGACATCATTTAGTCGCCCAGAGTGAAGATTTAGTCGCATATGCGAGTGATTTACTCGCAATGTAGAGGGTTGTATGAGCGGAACAAGATCATGTTCAAGTATAGGTCAGATGCTGTTACAGAATTAGACACACATGCCCAGAGAAAGATAGTAAGGTCAGGGAATGGAAACTGAAAACAAACCAACTAAACCATAATGGGTCAATAGACTTTTAAAAAGCTGAACTTTTTTTTAAAATGCAATGTCAGGATGTGCATTTTTAATGAAGCTGGGAGCTCTGCGATTGTTAGTGCATATTTTTAACAATTTTGTCATTTCCCAAACTTTGCAAAGAAGAAGTATTTAGCTTTAAACCCGACAGTGCACTAATCCCAGCCTTCAAGCATTACACACAACAACCACCTCCTGCTGCATAAATGCTCTATAATTAATGTATTCAACAAGCTTGTGACTTTATTTGAATAGATTGGATAGTTGAAAGTGGGAGTCACAGCACAAACCAGAATAGAATCAGACCTGAATGTGAACTTACTAACCTTGTGAAAAAGAAGTGCGCTTAATTGTTCTGAATGTGCACTTGAAATGTACTTCAAATCTTAAAAGTATATAATATTGCAGATAATATGAAATTAATGAAAATACAAGGCCACTTGTTTTCAAAGAGAGTTCACTTTCATGACTATAGACGTGTCCCAAATTATGTACTATACACTATGCACTTACACTATGCACTATGTACTCAACTATCAAGTGTATGAGTTTTAAATGGTTATTTTGTCATCCAGCTGCGACAGAGTGTCTAATATTTCACATTTCATGTTTTCGATTAAATAAGCGCACTTTTTCTTGTTGGAATTTCTTGTTAAGCAGTACTCGCATCACTTAACCCTCATTTGTGTAATAGTCATTTTGACAAGGAGAGGATTTTATATTTCTGAAAATGCTATAATGTTATTGCATAGGACTAAAATTTACTGACTTTGCTCACACAAGGTAAAACAACTTCCCAAAAAATGTTGATAATTTTTGTGATTGTTTCCCACCTTGTTACACTTATGGTGTTACTGCTTTCATTCAATTAGAAACGATTTCGATTTTTTTTGGGAACTTACTGATTGTAGGCCTCACTGATCTGAGCTTATGCACCTCAGGTTTTGAGTGAACATTGCAAAAATTATCCACAAATAATTATTTTTTCCCTCAAAAATTTAAGCGCATAAGCTCAAATCAATGAGGCCTATGACCAATCAGTTCCAAAATGAAACACAAAACCTGGGCTAGCTGAAAGAAAACAAATCAGGTCATTTTTGACCAGGAACACCAAATTAGGTAAAAAATTAACCCTAAATCTAACCGTACATGCAAAAAAAAAAAAAAAAATGTTCTTCAGAGATTCTTTGGGGTGGTTGAGGTGCTATATAGCACCACTACCATATAAAAATAACCTGTTTAGCCCAATATGGTTCTTCAGCAGTTCTTCAGTGGTTCTTAGCACCACTGCCATACAAAGAACACGTTAAGCCCCTGTATAGTTCTTTAAAAGTTCTATAACTCTCTCTTAGTCTCGTAGTTTAGTTGGGGAAAGGATAAAAAAAAAAAACGACATTAAAATACAGTGTGTTTCCTGAAGATAATGTGGTTCTCAACCTTTTTGCCCCCTGTAAGGAAATATTCCAGGGCCCCCACACAAGACTTTTTGACCTTTTTGAAAAGCATAAAAGTGATTCAAAACAGCTTGAGAGTGGAGTAACATATCTAAAATCTAAGGAGGAGAATGGAGCTCCTTTTATGGTTCTACATAGCACCATCTGACAAAGGTGCTGTATAGCACTTAAAGTGGTTCCTCTATGATTACAAGCCAATGAACCACTTTTAGTGCTATTTAGCATCATTTTTGTGTAGCATGTTATTTCATATTACATTTAATATATTATAAATGTAATAAATTGCAACTTCATTATTACAAATGTGTCATTTCAAATATAATTAAATAAATAAATATATATATATTTTAGTTTATCATAAATGTAACCAAATACTAAATTACATACAACATACTTAAGTCATCTTTTATTTGGAATATGTATGGATAATAAGACCAGGAACATCCATTAAAAAAGTAAATAGTGTCAGTTTTGATTTCAGGTTGACTTAAGCAATCAGAAATGTTACATTTGTTTCTTTCAAACAGTAAAGGCAAGACATCATGCATTTATACTCACACAAACATGTTCATTTTGTGAGAGCGCTATCCTGAAACAGTGAGTCGTTCAGTGAGGCAGAAAGATGCTCGGAAGGTGATACACAGCAGCCACCATCACGTTCACTCCCTTTAATCTGCTGCCTATAGCCCATATATTATTCAGAGCACTTGGCCCTCACTCACGAGAAGCGTTCCTCTATAGAGGCGTCCCTACTTTCAGGCGAGACATTCACACATGACGCTATTTACAGCTAATAGTATGGCAGGTTTCTGCAGCTTTCTTGAAGTGTCGTATATTGCGCCCACTGTAGCGCAGCCTCAACGCAATGATATCTTTCTCCATGTGAGCCAAGGTTATAGTAGGGTTGTCCGTCACGCTACATTAGCTCTTTTTAGGCTAGACTAAAATTGAATGGGCTGTTCTCCCTCAGGCTGGAGGGAGGCCCTGCAGAGGAAAGGAGAAATGCATTAAAAGAGCATTCTGCATTGCCTCGCTGGTTCGCTCTTGCAGCAAAAGTTTCTCTGATGCATGGAAGCATGGATGTCCCACTATCTCTTCTGTGAAATAGCACAAATGATCCAAAGCAAAGAAAAGAAAAAGGCTGTGCTGTTATGAATGAATGAGTTATGAATAAATTAAACGTCTTTGTCCGCTTGAGAAACGGTGTCTCTTCCGCGGCTCGGTATGCTTTCAACTCATTTTTTTTTTCTCTAATAATGCCCGGTTCAGACTACACGATTTTAACCCGATTTTGCCACGATTTGCTTGACGTAGGGTGTCGTGGGGATTCGTAAACGACAATGGGCGTCATGACGCAAGATTCCATCGTTTCAGCTCGTGTAGTGTGTCATAGTGGACAACAACCGATTCCACGTCTGCGATGCTTCATGACATCTGGGCTGCGTTTCTCGAAACCTTCTTAATGCTACGTCGTTCGTAAGTTATACCTTAAGTTGTACCTTTACGTTAATACGTGTTTCCCGAAACGTTCTTAGTTAAGTATACCTTCCGTAAGTCATTCGTTCGTAAGGTTAGTCTGGACCACTCTTAGCTATACCTTATCGCTGTTCACAGTTCACTCCGCTAGTGGCCACCACTGTGAAAAAACCTTCTTCACATTTCAGTCGATACGATTGTAATTCTGTGGCAAGAAAAAGTGCAGAACCAAATAAATATTACAATTCTAAAGTTGTAATACAAGACACTGTATGACATTCAAGTTACATGATTTGACTGATTTTTACGTAGAAAGGGTGACGGCGCACCGCATTAAAAGAAATTACATAAGCGGTTTTCATAACCGCTGGCCAAATTCAAAAACGAAACTAAAATTAAATCATCTTTGAGAGCAAGGGGGCCCCCTGGTGTTTCGGGGGCCTACGCAGCGTGCGTACTTTGCGTATAGGGAGGATCAGCTCTGTCTATGAGCACTCCTAGTTTCTGTAAATTAAAAAAAAAAGTAACTACAATAAATGAAAGTATACAAAAATTTAATTTCAGGATTGTTCTTCAGTGTTCCCAGTGTTTTTAACCAATGAATTGAAATGACTTCGCCACCAAAAATAAATGACCAAATCAGCATATTAGAATGATTTCTGAAGGATCATGTGACACTGAAGACTGGAGTAATCGCTGCTGAAAATTCAGCTTTGCATCACAGGAATAAATTACATTTTAAAATATACATAAAAAGAAAACAGTTTGTCTAAATTGTAATAACTTTTCATAATATTAGTATTTTTTACTGTATTTTTATCAAATAAATGCAGCCTTGGTGAGCATAAAAGACATCTTTCAAAAACATTTAAAAATCGTAATTATTCCAAATGTTTGCCCCTAGTTGAACCACTTTCATAGACAC